TATCGATAATAAACAGTTGCTGATTGCAAGTATCAATAATTTTTTTCCTACATTATATTTATCTTTAATACGTTATCTGGCAAGCCTATTTTGAAAATATCTGTCCTAGACACCAACGTTAAAAACAATAAATAAATAATAATAGGTTGAAAATAATAAATAAATTGTTATAATGAAACCTTTTTGTTAATGAACTTTTAACGGACAACCCAGTCGGGGTGGGCTGTAACGAGCAACCTAATTAATAATACTATCTTCTATCTTCTAATACTCGTTATTACGTGGTTAGTAATGTCAACATTTTAATATTATTCTTTGTCATTCTCCTTATTATTCTGACATGTAACTAATGAATGACTTTCGGTAATTAACTGAAATTACAACGCAAGTTCTTGAATTAAAAAAGATAATGATCGAAATTATTCAAATGCTCTTGTAAGCAATTAATTCTTTTTCAAAAGGTACAACTTTATCATTTTGTCCAAAATTTACGATTTCGTCAACATAACTATTCGGTGTATTTAAAACTGCAAATTGAGGATGTCAATATTATTGAAAGTTATTTACTTGCCAAGTTCGATATTTCCAGTATGTATACTATTGAGCCGGAATCGAACGACGTGGATGTTCATGAATGGTTAATTCTACTTCGTACAAAGAGGAGATTCTTGCAGTTTTCAGCAAACAACTGATTTAAACGATTCTTAACGCTTGATTTCTATATTTCTAACATTGTAATAATCTGGATATGTTTGCAAGTGTATCATCGGAAGACATAAAATTCTTACAACGAAACTTTCAAAATTATCGTTGCACCATTTTATGGACCATCGTGCACATAAATCTTCTTCGTGATTCACACAGTGTTTCTACTTTGCAAAGATAATAAATATAAGAAAGCATAGTAGCACGGAAATGTACCTCCCCGTTGTTTATCTTCAGACCAGAATGAAGATTAATTACACGTTACAATCTCAGCCATCAGATTTTAAACGCGTCGAAAGTAGCAGAAGCGATCTCTTGCCTTATGCTAACGTATAATTTTTATGGACAATATATTAATTAACACCGATCATCAAAAACCCTTAAATACCTATAATTCATAGCCGTATTTTGAAGTATCCGACGACATTCAGTGCAAAGGTACCTCTGCATTAAATATACCATATTTTCGTGGAGAAAGAAAATAGTTCGAAGATTAGATTTTGTCCAGATTTTTGGCAGAATCGATCACTGTGCGACACGGCACTCAACGTGTTAATCACGCGGCCAATTACCGAATCGTTGCAGGACGAAAACGATCGACGCGGCCGGCAGCTGGATCGCTCTGGATCACGGCTGCAACGGCGATCGTTCGGTCGGTGCACTGACCAGCTTCGACTTAGGCGTGGTTCTTGCGTAATGCAAAAGCGAGCGCGTTGCCAGCCCGTTTTATACATATATGCATTCTACGTGTACGCGCCGCGACCTATGCGCTGTCCCGCAGCACTCGTAACGCGGCGATAAGCGCAGAAAATTCATATTCGCACGCGAGATCACCGCCCCCGCGCGCAAATCGTTACGGCAGCCCGGTAGAAAGTAGAAAGCATCTACAGGGTGTTAAATGAAAGACGACACGAGAGATGTTGTCTACGATCGGAAAGGATTTGTGCACAGCCGGACATTCGTAACGATTGTTAATGGTTCCTTGAACCTGCGGATCCCGTAACGTTTTCTGGTAACGGTGGTGACGATGTGTGTTGGTGTAAGCGCGTCGAGTTTTATCCGGCAATTAGTGTTTTGTTAGGAACGTGTACAACTATCTGAGCGGAGATGATAATGGGCTCGTTTTTACCATGAATAATATCATGCTCGATCCAGGCATGTTACTGTTCTGATTTATTAGCTCCAGCGTTGAAAGATGCATTTATGCAATAGTACTCGGTTACGCTGAATCGTTGACTAAAAAATTAATGCCACTCTCGGAGAAATAAAATTTAAGTGGAAAGACAAGGATGTTTGACATTTTATACATATGCACACTTTTTCGATCATATTATCGCAGCTTAGATGTTGGAATGTGGGATAGTCCGTTAGAGATTGAAGTAACTTCAGTATGCAGATGGTATCAGTTTAAAACTAGTTTTTTAGAATTGCACAATAATTAGTCCAACGCTTTCACCACAAACGAGTGCATCGGGGTTCGATTATTTTCTTTTCAGAGACATCACAATTTATGGCACTACAATTTTACACCCCGTATATCACGACCGGTGACCTTCGATGTATCGAAAGTACGATAACATTGTAGATTTCCCGCTAGTTGCCCACGTCGCGTCGTTGGAGTAATAAACTTTGAATTACATAACGATAATAGGCCCGTGAAAGTTGCCGACGCAGGCAAGAAGTAGACGAACTGATTGAAATTGTAATTAAAGATAACGAAAAACTGAAGATCAAGAAAGGAATATAGGTCGCGTGCTGGGCCCACTCCTACGGCTTGCACTTTTGGTGGCATAGGTAAAATGGAATGTGAAAAGCGTCCCTTAAGTTTACAGATGGACTGTTACTTATTAAATATTTATCAGCAGAATCAGAATTGACGAGACACTGGTACGCGTATATAACCTCGACATATCTTGGCATTGGATCATCAAAAATTGTATACACGAGAATGACACAAACTTTTGTTGGATAAGGAAGAATCATCCATAAGAATTCCACGTTTTTACTAAACCTGGGTAATCAATATTCTAAAATTTTATTGGCATGGTAAGATCGACTTAAACATTAGAATTCACACATTCAGATTCATTATGATATATACACTTATGAACTAAACCAAGTATCAAAATCAAAGATCATCGTATAAAATTGCAAATGGATAATGAAAGCACCTAATGATACAAAAGTTATACAAAATTTAATAGCATTCCTGGAAACATTAATTCAATAAATATATATCAAACATTAATTACATTTTCTGAATTTTAATGTTTAAGTTGATTTTGCCTTGCCAATAAAATATGAATGCCAACTAAAATAGTCAGTAAAATTAAATTTTAGTATATCGATTATCCAGGTTTGGTAAAAACGTGAAACTATGAGTTTAAAACAGTCTGACTTTGTTTATCGTGTTTCTACCGTTCCACTACCCCAATCTTAAATACTTTATCACAAATGATTGAAGTAAATTACTTTTTACCAGTTTTACATCGCGTTCACTTTACTTTAATTTTTGTACACAGCAGATACAATAACATGCTATTCCTTGTGTAGTCTTGATCGATTGTAATCTGGTGATCTCATTAAACTGTTCACGTACCATCTTACAGCTCGCGACAAAAAATTGAGATGTATCCTACGATATTAAAACTCCATGTCACTGACGTTCAAACGCAATCTCCAAAGTTCAACGATGTTCACCGCATCTCCGTTAATTTATCAGGTGCGTTGGCATCGATCAGCGATGCAGAGATCACTTTATCGAAGCTGGTTTTAGTCCACTTAGCCTTGTCATTGCGACTTGATCCGAGACCTTTTGTGACTATTTCTCTGGGACATTTAACCCGTGTGGTAGGTTCCCAAAGTTCATAGGGCCGACCCTCGCTCAGGCAGCGTGAACATGCTTAGAGCTTTATACGATCGCGTAAAGCTGTCAATACGTCCCTCATAATGCGCTGGGGCTAAATCAGTTGTTCGCAAGATATAACGCGTTCATCCGCGTCCTGAGAAACTTTTTAACGGCGTACACATTTTGCGTTGCGTTCGGAATGCGTGCCCGTTGTCACCCAAGAGTTATTACGGGAAATAAAGGCGGATAGTGGTCGGGAAACACAGCGGTAATGAGGTTCTATATGATACGAGCGTAAAACGTTCAATTGTAATCGATTCGACGTTCTATCACACAGTGTTATATTGTTATTACACGCCTTTGATTATTGCCAGTGAAAGGACACCGCATAGAATATCCCATTAAGAAACCGATACTTGCTTCGCATTAGCATTCCCCGAATGACTGCGCTGAAACGTGAAGGAAATGTTATGCACTTGAAGTTCGTTTGTCATCGACCCCGTTTATGACTGATCCTTGCGTAAGCCTTTATCTTACGGTATCAGCTCAAACATGCAGCAAATAGTGAAATTATTTTTATCTATAAGTTTCATCTTTCGAATGTTATCCGAATTATCTCTCTCTCTCTCTCTCTCTCTCTCTCTGAATCCATAGTATAATCCTATCATTAAGTGAAAAGCTGAAAAATTTGATCGCGTTTTTAAGAAAGTGTTCTTAACAAAGCTTCACGAACATTTAAGCTGACGAAATCAACAATGAAGCAGAATTTATCTCTTGAAATTCCAATGTTGCAGTATATCTTTAACTCGTTACAGCCACCGATAACTGAACTGAATATAATGCAATTAAACATTCTCATAATTGATTAGATTATAGTGTAAATTGAGAGCTTCGGTACTAATTAGGTAACGATACACGCACTGATTTCCGCTATTAGCAAAATTAATAAGGGATTAAGTTACCTCGCAGAATCCTGTGTGCCAATGCATTTTGAACACACGCGTTTCCGCCGAAAGTGAACATGTGAATTATTATACAATGTGGACAGAAAATCGACGGGACACGCTGAAAAATCGATCGCGCTACAAGCACGCATCATAGAATGCAATGAACTCGTTCAGGGACATTTGCATTCTTGCGCCAAAGGATCGGAACAACGGGATACCTACTTATTGACTACTTGCGTGAGGGTAACAACAAACTAACGGGCTCGATACATGCGACGAGGTCCTGTTTTATAACGAGAAGAGATTGCCAGATCGGCGTCGAATCGGTCCCCGTCCGATCCATCATCCACGACGATTGGACGTTAATACCTGTCGGAGGTTTTAGTCACCAACTGGAGCAACCGAGGCTTACACAGTGTTTCCTTCTCAAATTCTAGGCTCGCGGTTGACTCGCTCGTTTATGTAACGAGACCCGTGTAAGCGACGCCGAATCGCAAAACCGCAGCCGGAAAAGATCAAATACTGCTGTTTGCGGGTTATCGATTGCGTCTCGACCGCTGAGATCGACGATCGAATACGTCGATGGTGTGACAGTGATCGCGACGAATCTTAATGGCGCGATCTATTATTTAAATACGGTGATGCCTCACCAATTGATTCAGTTTCGCTGTTAACGCGTGTTCACCGTTACGCTTACGTCCCAGCTATCAGCTGGCTGAGTTGCTTTGAACTTGCCCCGGTTTCCTTGGATACAAAGACAAATTGAAGTGTCCATTGAGGAATATCTAAAAGTTGTCCCAAAATTCAATTCGAATGTTCAACATTGAAGGAGATGATATCTCGCACGATAATGCAAACTTGCGACAATTGGTTTTTGCATGTTAAGCTTAATCGAACTGTACACGTCATTGCGTTACCATTATACATACTAATTATTAAAATGTATGCGAGTATAGGATCTCACAAGGTATCACACTTAAGCTCGAACATGTAAATGTTTTGTATTTGTGTTAAAACATAGATGAAATCACATTTTCGATGATTTTAAAAGGGGCGTATTGTTGTTTTCGCAACTGTAAATTAAGTCTATGTTTGTCTGACACTTAACTTGCGATACCAAGAGGGGAAGGTTTGAACAAATTAATGTTTCACAAATGAAACATTGCTTAAACACGTCTAATTGTTCAAAATATTATAAAAATATACACTATTGTATTTGGGGAGTGTGCAGCATCGTTCTACGTAAAAATGAATTAGATAACTGCTACAGTACTGTTTAAAACGAGAACGTATTGTAGAAGAAACGTCTATTGTTTATATCATTTTTATGGCTTTATATTACATTCGTATTATATGGTTATCATTCATATTATATTTCTTGTACTTACATTAATATTCATTAAAGTAGAACTCCGCTCATGTGATCTCCATTTGTGTGAACTAAATAGCAATGCCTGATCAACTAAAATCTATTCTGAAATGACAGGTAAACTCTTATTAAATAAACCTCCCTTCATATAAATGGAGTTCTACTGTATTATAGATTATGTAAAGGTCATGGTAGATCAAATTTTCTATAAATATTACAAATCGAACAAGGTAACACTCATCCGTGGGTTACCTTGAAATCACCAGCAATTATTTCACCGACAATGTTTACATCGACACGATCTCAGCGCCACCGCATTTCAACGACATTGTTTATATACCGACGCGTTGTTATCGCCGATACATGTTTACATCGATCTCTCTTGTTTCAACGACAAATGTGATTATCGACGCTTAGAACTTTTGGCAACATATTAACTATACGTTTGAACGTCGTATAGTACACACTTATTGTAAGTGCTACGTTCACGCATTATTTACGGTAAAAGAAATGGATTTCTTAACGGAAGGTCACGGTATTGTAAACGAAGTGCAACCATTGTATAAATAGCACTGCACACTCAGATTCTTCTTATTTGAAGTTGCCTCGTCCGTACGGTCGGAATAGATCGAAACAGAACGAATTCTTCGAATAGAAAATTTGATCTTTTTCTCTTCGCAGTTACTACTCAAAAACTAAGGATGATACAAAAAAGTGACTTTTTGATTTGCGTGTAACGTTGAACAAAATGCAAAAATAATGTACTCCTCTAACTGAATCAACGACCAGGACGGTAGTTGGAGCGACGATTGTAAAGTATTGAGGCGGCGAGGAAATGATTATCATGAACGTTTAACCTGACAAGTATTGTGTCGTTAGAAACAGTAATTGTGCGTCTCGTTCGGCGCAATGACACAGCTGGACCGATGGGAGACTTGCGTGACACGGTGCTGCGCGGCTCGGCAACGAACGATGAGTTTAATTATCATCAACAAGCAACAGGGTGACATGAGACAGTGGAAGTGGTCGCAGGAGACCAACGACAGACAGATCCACGGCGGCGCGATGTCTCGGCACAATCCCGTAGAAAGCCAGCGACGTTAATTTCCAGGATCGTGCGAGATATATGCTGCACCTTACGCGCAACCACTCCTCTCGTAATTCACTGATTCCGTTGGATTTACGACTGCAATTCTCCGAGTCCCCCGGACTAGTCACGGCTTTCGTATGCCCTCTCGACGAAATTGACACAGGTCCGTGTAAAACCAGCGCCCGTTAATGAATTGCCACCCGGCGATAACGTAACGCCGAATCGAATAATACATTTTCGGCAAATAATGGAAACAGGTGGCGATCGCGTTAGTCGTTGGAACGCTGCACGCCCGTCTCGTTTCGTTTCCAGTCGAGCTTACGGGAACAATATGAAAGCAAGATTTGGTATTATGATTCAAACCAAAACGTGTTTGTTGTTCTACGTTCCTTCAGTGGTGATTATTTCACAATTCGACTCAATTTGCTGGTCACAGCGGTTCTTTCACCGCGTCCCTTCTAATTATGTTATTTCATTCCAGCTGCAAACACGCTATAGAATAAACCAAAGTCTCGAATGGTTTCATAAAATTAACAAAAGTTCAATTTCACGATTTATGTTCTACTCTGAATGACTGGATTTTGCTGGGGGACTGAATCCGATGATTCAAATGTATTAAATGTTCTAAAGAAGTATGCTGTTGTGCTGGGGTAAATTCTTAATTTTTAAAATTAAGAATAAATGTTCGAATGATGGAGAAAAACGGCGTTCGAATTTACAAAAATTGCCTGCTAGCTATCAAAATGTAAAAGTTAAGTTAAAATTTGTTGGACACCGCAAGTAATTGATGTTACGAGGACTAAAATACGGATTATAACCGAAACAATTAATTGTTGCTAATTTTGAATCTTGGAAACAGTTAATTCGAATTTAAATTCTGTTTCAGAAATCAGAAAACAATGTTAAATCCTATTGAACCGTACTCGGAGAGTAATAGGATCCCATTGAAATAAATTTGCGCGAACAAAATCGTCAGTTCGATCTTAATTTTCCCGTGGCGCAATGCAATAAGTAACAACATGGAACACGCTATTTCCCGCTTGTAAAGTAGGGCCAGATGTGTTCCAGCTCGAAATACGCGTTGAACCGGTGCGACGTCTGACTTTGACGAGCGGAATGTCACATCGAGGGAGGGGAAAGTTTTACGAGCCATTAACGGGGAAAGCCGATCGCGGGCATTAATTAGCGCAACTCGATGGGTAATTGAACGATACCAAAGTTAGGTCCTTTGAGACCGAAACCGATTGAAACTTGTCGACACGGCCGGCCTCTAAAATAGTTATCTACCATCCGACTAGAAGTCGGACACATAGTTTTCGTAAAAGGCTGTGTTAAAGCGTGAACACGTTATTCACTGGGTGCTCGTGGAACTTCTCCCTAGAATATTAACATTATCCGACCTATAACGTTACTCCAAAACGCACCGCAGAGTATTATTAATTGATACTGTCCGCGCTCGTAAGCGGCAAGATCAATTTCCTTGAGTCTGCCCACCGAGATATCTTGACTATATTACATCTGTGTTACCTGAGAATGATTGAATATCATATTGTCTCATGGATGATGTCGTTTACTTCCTTGTCGCGAGTAAACGTTGCGACAACTGTTTCTTCATAAAATGAACCTAGTCGTAAGCCATTGTTTCTCATACTTCAAATTTGTTGCACAAAACGATGAAATTTATGGCATGACTTGACATTTATTTAAGAATTATAATTGCAATTAAATTGCTAAAATATTTTTATCTTGAAGAAGAATATTACTTTTTATTAGTGCAGAGGCAATTGAAATTCTAATGGCAGCAAATTGTTTTTATTCGATTTTGCACTTATACTTTTGAACGAAGTACCATATAAGGCAGAGTTTAATTGTTCGAAGGAAATGGAACGGTTTAATTGGGGGATATCGGGGCTAGAATTTCCGATTTTGTGAAAATATGAAAATTGACTAAGAAATAATGCAGTGACTTCTTCCGTTTCTGACTAATTTATTGTCAAATTTATTCTACTTTAAGACTATCAACTCATAAGTTGTTACGGCAACAATGTGCCTCGAGTCACGGGAACAACTAGCTCCAATTGACATGTATATGGCAATGTATAAAAATATTTGGTTTATATATTCAAATATTCTAATAAATGTTATTACAACATGTTCTTAAATGTTATTTAATTTATAAGAACAGAACAATAGACGATATTGATATTAAATAATTAAATTGGAACGTGTTCGATAATTAAATACACGATTCGCTGACGCGGACGCTACTAAAATGGTTGACCGCGTGATCGGCGTGGCGGAATCGGTCCACGCTTTCAAAACAATTGAAAGCATAATGCAATTCTTTTATACTTGAAATATATTACCATCGGAACAACTATCCCCGACACTTCTAGCCCCGGTCTCTCCTACCTTCCTTCTCATTATACTATTTTATTGTTGTACAAATCATGTCTTTCCAGATGATTTACTGTCTTTTTGCCACTTTCTGCAGAGATATTAAGATCTTAAGTGCTGTAGAAATAGTAAACGCAAACTTGGATAGTACCTGGCAAATGCAATAGCATTAATATAATAATGTATGTGTTGTTCTTTTTAGAAGATACGCAAACGTGTAAAGTCGTTTGGCAAAATATTTCGTGCAGGTAATACCTACAAATCTTAAAATTGTAAAACATATCGCACACGTGTTACGTCGTGTCACATGAAATATTAAATACCTTATCAGTCGCAAAACATCGTTCTTTGTTTAAAAATTACACATTTTTTTATTTATTTGATAGGAAAGCATTTGCAAATGTGCAGCTCGGATGATGTTCATTCGAATTTAGAAAACAAGTTTTCCTTCTCTTCGATGATCCGCCATTTCTCTCTCATGGAACAGCTTTATTAGAATTATTGAAGATCCTCGTTTATTTTGATCAATAGATCCGACATTACATCGATACATGCAACAGTTTTCTCTAAATCATGGTATATTTTCGTCCGTTCCGACTGGTAGATCAAGGAAGCCGTTCGGCGACCGGTTCCCGAGAATCCGTAGATTTGACGATGATTGATTTCACGATGATTCAGAGTGCAATAAGATCGAAGCTTCCGGACGTCGGAGAGTAGCAGGAGCACTGGTGTGCCTCGCGGTGGCACACCAGCTGGTTATAAGCGCGGTAACGCCTTCGGCCTGGATTCTAGAGCATGAACTTATCGGGAGCGAGGCGGCGAGCGCTATCATTGCGCAAGCAACTACTCACAATGCCTTCGGTCCGAGCAAAAAGTACTCGGCGAGCGAGCAAGCTGCTCTCGACCGATCGAACTATCGAGGGGATTGGTCGATCGGGGCCTGGCTTGCTACGTGCGCAACAACCGCGCTCTACAACTCTGCCGACTCCGTGGAAAGGGAAATCGGCTTCTACGTTGCGCGAAAAACGCGGTTGCGATCGCCTCGAATTTTTCCAACGGGTCAGCGCTTCATTCGGTTGCCAGGTCTTCGGTATTTCTCGTGAATTGCGCGAACCCTATATATTATAATCAATTGCGCTCACCCCTCGTATCTACAACACAATTTGATTGTTGTACAACGCGACGGAAAATAATGGAAGATACCAATATTNAATTGACTAAGAAATAATGCAGTGACTTCTTCCGTTTCTGACTAATTTATTGTCAAATTTATTCTACTTTAAGACTATCAACTCATAAGTTGTTACGGCAACAATGTGCCTCGAGTCACGGGAACAACTAGCTCCAATTGACATGTATATGGCAATGTATAAAAATATTTGGTTTATATATTCAAATATTCTAATAAATGTTATTACAACATGTTCTTAAATGTTATTTAATTTATAAGAACAGAACAATAGACGATATTGATATTAAATAATTAAATTGGAACGTGTTCGATAATTAAATACACGATTCGCTGACGCGGACGCTACTAAAATGGTTGACCGCGTGATCGGCGTGGCGGAATCGGTCCACGCTTTCAAAACAATTGAAAGCATAATGCAATTCTTTTATACTTGAAATATATTACCATCGGAACAACTATCCCCGACACTTCTAGCCCCGGTCTCTCCTACCTTCCTTCTCATTATACTATTTTATTGTTGTACAAATCATGTCTTTCCAGATGATTTACTGTCTTTTTGCCACTTTCTGCAGAGATATTAAGATCTTAAGTGCTGTAGAAATAGTAAACGCAAACTTGGATAGTACCTGGCAAATGCAATAGCATTAATATAATAATGTATGTGTTGTTCTTTTTAGAAGATACGCAAACGTGTAAAGTCGTTTGGCAAAATATTTCGTGCAGGTAATACCTACAAATCTTAAAATTGTAAAACATATCGCACACGTGTTACGTCGTGTCACATGAAATATTAAATACCTTATCAGTCGCAAAACATCGTTCTTTGTTTAAAAATTACACATTTTTTTATTTATTTGATAGGAAAGCATTTGCAAATGTGCAGCTCGGATGATGTTCATTCGAATTTAGAAAACAAGTTTTCCTTCTCTTCGATGATCCGCCATTTCTCTCTCATGGAACAGCTTTATTAGAATTATTGAAGATCCTCGTTTATTTTGATCAATAGATCCGACATTACATCGATACATGCAACAGTTTTCTCTAAATCATGGTATATTTTCGTCCGTTCCGACTGGTAGATCAAGGAAGCCGTTCGGCGACCGGTTCCCGAGAATCCGTAGATTTGACGATGATTGATTTCACGATGATTCAGAGTGCAATAAGATCGAAGCTTCCGGACGTCGGAGAGTAGCAGGAGCACTGGTGTGCCTCGCGGTGGCACACCAGCTGGTTATAAGCGCGGTAACGCCTTCGGCCTGGATTCTAGAGCATGAACTTATCGGGAGCGAGGCGGCGAGCGCTATCATTGCGCAAGCAACTACTCACAATGCCTTCGGTCCGAGCAAAAAGTACTCGGCGAGCGAGCAAGCTGCTCTCGACCGATCGAACTATCGAGGGGATTGGTCGATCGGGGCCTGGCTTGCTACGTGCGCAACAACCGCGCTCTACAACTCTGCCGACTCCGTGGAAAGGGAAATCGGCTTCTACGTTGCGCGAAAAACGCGGTTGCGATCGCCTCGAATTTTTCCAACGGGTCAGCGCTTCATTCGGTTGCCAGGTCTTCGGTATTTCTCGTGAATTGCGCGAACCCTATATATTATAATCAATTGCGCTCACCCCTCGTATCTACAACACAATTTGATTGTTGTACAACGCGACGGAAAATAATGGAAGATACCAATATTATTAATGAATTGGTGGAGCAAATAATTAATTCGTTATAAGTGCTCGCATAATATTATCGAAACAAACATTGTAATGCTATACGATGCAATTTGGATCTGATTTCCAAATTAATAGGTTATTAGTCACCGGATTTGCTCTCCCTGCTGTGAAGATACTTCAGCGCACCGTTCTAATTGAAAAACAATTATGGATTAAATACGCGTACACTTTGTCTTTAATCCTTCGCCCCGGGTTTATTTATGCTCCAATGTTCAACATTATCGAGTACATTTCTGTCACATGTACTCTTTTGAAAATTATTTTCGGGTTAAATTTTATCAGAAACTTTAGAAAACGTGAATATTACAAAACTTCACTTCATTCTATGTATACTGTAAACACTGCTAATCAAAATACAACATTTTTTAATTCCACTTTACATTGTAATA